ACGTGCTTGACATGGCTTACACGGCCCCTAAAAAGGGGGTATCGTACTCCATCATCTCAAATACCGCGACTAACTCGGCCTCCATTGTTAAGACTAATACAACCATGTTTTTGGGTCGCTAGCTCACGGGCATCCTGGTCAACAGCACTTCGACGCCAGTCAAAGACTTTCTGTCTCCCTTATCCGCAGCAAAGTCAGCATCACTCTATGGCTCGAAAGTTATCAGCACATCGAGATTTATGCTAGCGCGCATAATTAGCCTAATCGTATTCCTTTTTTAAGTTAACGTGCAATTCGCCTTGCCAGTTTTAGATCTTGTATGCATGGTGTTTGCAGCGGGGCTGCCGTAGCTTTGCGCTTGAGTAAGCGTAATTTAGATCACCGACCTTTCGGTTTTTACAAGAACCAATACGAGTGTAGCGGATCGCAATCCGCTACCTCCAAGAGTAGTTAGTACCTTAACTAAGGCTAATAGACTCTTCGGTTTATCTGCGGCAAAGCCGCCTAACTTTAAATGTTTAGATTTTCCTAAAAATATATATTAAAATCTAAACACATGCATAACTACTGGCTACACCGTATTCTTGTTTGGGTGCAGTCACACCATGCCCATCTCGTGTGACACACACTTCTGTTCCCAGGGTACGTGTAACCCCGTTATAGTGTTTGTGTCTGTCGCTTTGCTTTGTGGATAACAAATGCAATATTCCGACGCGTGTACCGTGCGATCCATAGCAGACTATGACTGAATCGGTTAGATAGCTGACGACCCGTGTCTAGCTTTTTCCTGCAGCAGTACACTGTCTGTTGTGAATTAGTCGTCGCAGTTGTCGCCGAAAGGGCGTGCTCGTGCAATAGCTCCGCTATACCGCTCTGATCAAGGGTACATGCGTGCGTGTCGAGTGTCATCACTCTTATATCGATATGCCCCGACAGTGGTCTGATATAAATTTAAATAGCGAAGCCATCAAAAAAAACTTCGTGCGGTTACCGCAGTAGAAACAATAAGACCATCGGTATGGACACCGACCAAGGTTATATCAGGTTCCCACGCTTGCATAATCGTCACGCGTTTCTCATAAAACCTGCGTCAATAACTTTTGCGTATCTAGGTTGTACATTATCTCGGGTGCGACATCAGTCCTATTGGCCGCACCAAGCATCTTGATTTTTTCATATTCGATCTTCATACAACTAAAGCATTCCTCTTTTTCTGCTTAGGTCCGTCCTTTGTGAACCAAAACCTGCGCATCATTGAAAGTCCTAGGATTACCTATTTTGGCGGCATGTACATGTCAGCATGGACGGTGAGCGCCGAATTTACGCCCAAAAACTGCTTGTTTCCGCACGCAAAACGCCGCGCCTTCAAGCGCTCCACCACGCTGTTCGTTGATGGTTTGGTCGTCCAGCCCATATGAATTTTTAAACGATTTGGCCCCAGGCGGATGCTAGATTGCTATCCGGCACCTTTATTAACAAACGTTCGATTTTTAGGCACAGCCTCGCGCCATCCTTTAGTCGATTGTGCCGTATATGGCTATGTGTTATTGTGTCGTATAAAAATCACGGACTGCAGAGTACTCCATCAGTTGACTTGTACCTTTTGCAGCGCGTTTGAATGTCTCGCATGTTGCCTGAGGAGCATGCACCCCCTTGTTTCACATTGACCTTGCTCTTTTCCTTGCAGAGAACAAGATTTTTTAAGGAATGTGCCCTCCTTTACACCATGCAGCCGCTCGCTCTTGTATCTTGATGTTGTTGAGATGCCAAGTCGCGATCAGAATTCCCTTCTTACCGTAAAATATATATGTCAATGCCTGGACTTATTGCTGTAAACTACCACCGTAGCAACTATCGCCCCATGCCCTAACAAAACTTTTTCGGAGCCCTAAATACGGTGCACGGTAAGCCAAAATTCACGACGACTCGGAGCTACGCGATCCTTGAGCTCGTAAATCGGCCCTCGATAGACTAATCGAACATTTCGACATTTTGATTTTCACTACCACCATATGTGTGAATCTCATAGTCAAAAGCTTATTAAAATACACCAAGTTTCTCACCGCTTGACCCTTGATGCGCGCAAAGAACGCGTGTCAGTGGACGCTCCTAAAAATTCGACAGATTCAACACGGGAACCCAATTTTCAAGGCGGTCTCCTGGGGGTGGATCGTATAAGGTGAAAGCCAATTACTACAAGCGGGAAACAAACGACATATTCTCGTATCCATCTTCAACTGCGCGTTCTTCGTTTTCGCGTATCCTGGGTGCGCGTGACACACACCATTTGCCTGTCTGCCTATGGGCTAAATGCCAGAGCCCGCTCGAACGCCTCCAATTTTTACTGTTCTCACGGTAGATGTTCAAATTCCGTTTCCTATTAACTCGAACTTCAAGAACGACATATAGTGCATGTTAGCATGGGTGAGAACTAGACGTTCGTTTGAAGAACGATGTCCGGGTTGCCATGCACTATCACTCGTAGCAGCAGGCTATCGAGTGTCGTCAGCAATAGCATCTCAACATCAGCGATCAAGTAACAGTTAGCATATTTGTGTAGCGCTGTGTTAGCGCTGTGTTGTTATCAAGACGCAGGCTTGATCCACTGTTGAAGATCTGTACAATTTTTTGAATGCTGCTATCGTACACACACAAGGTGCTATTCTTATCGTTCTTATCATCAAGGCAAGCGGCCAAAATGTGACCATCTTGGCCGCAGCCAACGCACTTGCGAGACTCGATGCGTGGTTCTCTCTTAATGATGTTTCCATAGACCCCTTTCCCAAATAATGACGAAACGTCGGTATCAACCTCGACAAACTGTGCTGGAACGAGGAAATCCAGACGGTTAGAATCGTACTTTGCAATGAGTCTTGAGCACAGCCCTTTTGATGCTTAGTAAACGATGATTTCGAGCACCTTCACGCACGTCGTTTACAACGATCAAATACAGGTAGTGATCGGGCGAGATCCTCATGGCGTCTTTCCTCGCCGTGAACAGTCTCAATGACTGAGACGCCAAATTTGTTGGAACGTTCAATCCCAGTCCATTAAGCCCTCAATATAGCCCGTCTTGGAAAATATAAGCATGCACTGATGCTCGTTCAGCTCAATTTGCTGCGGGTAATTTTGTGCCGCCGCGTACTGCGGTGTGCAAAACTGGGTCCGATCCGGACGCACAACTTGTCTCCCTATCCCATTCACATACTACTCGTATGCACGACCAAAACTGTCACCATGATATACAACCGCTGAGCTCAAAACTTATGGAGATGATTCTGAAATTGGATACGTAATTGACAACCATATTTTCTGTAAATTTGTGGATTTCAGCAATGTTGATAATGTGTGTCATGTTAATATGTTCGCGTGCACAAGTCTATCTGAGTATTCCGGCGAATCTGATGAGATATCAACGATTCCATCAGGATAATATTTGCAACCACATAAACGCACTTTGAGATGACTTGGAGTCTCATATTGTTTCCTAACCGAGCAATCTACTGCCTTGATATCATTTCCGTATTTCGTAAAGATACTTGAATATCAAGAGCGAGAAGAACATGTTGAACGCAAACTGTTTTACAGTATTCAGAATAAGAATTCTAGACGAAGTTTAGGTTTGGTAATTTCTTGTCTACAATACTTGAGCAATGTAACTTGAAGCAACAGCAATGCCAACTTTTCTGCCATGCGTGCATATGCACAACCACAATCATAGCATAAGGCGCCTGTTAAGCGATGACGAGCCAGCTTGCTGATTGCCCTTTAATATGATATCGGGATCTCTACGCATGCTATCGTATTACGATTTTTTAGAATCAAAATCAGAAAATACTTATAATACGAAGCTCGAAATTTGGCGCGTTAATTTTGAGCTCGGAAAGCGTCATAAACTGCTTACGTCTCCGAAGGCAAACATTGGTGCGCTAAGAATTCCGAGCCCAAATTCTCAATGAAAAAAATGCTTTGGCTTCAGCTGCGAGTATTCATCAATCGTAAGGCAATTGCGTCTGAAATCTAGTCGAGTTATGTTTCGATACACATAATCAATCGTAAGGCAATTGCGTTTGAAACCTTGTCGAGTTATGTTTCGATACACATAATTAAAGAAGCTACATCCAATTAGTTCTAAAGACTAAATAATTTAACAGTGGAGATAATGTACCACATGCTATGCATCTAGCTCAAATTCAGTTTCTCAAATGTTGATTTGTCCCTACAGAGCATGTAACGGGGTTACACGTACCCTGATATCAGGGGTGTGTGTCACACGTGATGGGCATGGTGTGACTGTACCCAAACAAGAATACGGTATGTGGCTAGGTTGCCAGTAGTTATGCATGTATTTAGATTTTACTATATATTTAGAAAAATCTTTCTATTTAAAATAAGGCAGCTTTGCCGCAGATTAAAATAAATAAAAATCAGTCTTAGATTTTAAACA